GTTTTAACTTTTTTTGTTTTTCCTGTGCCCTTTTCCCCTTGGGGGGGGTTTTTCAAAAACACCCGTAAAAAAAAAAAAAAAAAAAAAAAAAAAAAAAAGGATAACAACGAGCATTCATGTGTAGACACTGTTTATCCTAAGGTTCCTGGGTAGAGCTGCATTTCAGTGGAACTGGCTCCCAAGGTACCAGTCATCGAGGAAGCCAGGAGCACATTCCCACGTCCAGTCAGCAGGGGGACGTGGAGAAAATGCTCCTAGAAGCGCAACACGAGTCAGGCAGGAGCAGCTCCAAAGGAAGTTCCCAGTGCAACAGGTTGGTTTGCAAAAATAAAAATATGAGGAAGAAGAGTCGGTGCTGTTCTTTCAACGTTGGTTGTGCAACACTTATTACCCAAGAAGCTGCTGTTCCGGGTGTGTTCACGTCTCTGTTATGTATTTTCTTCTCCGCAACAGCCCACTCAGATCACAGACTCCCCTTCTTCTGTGGAGAGGCTCAGAAGGAAACAGCTCTCAGGTAGAATATGTTAGAACGACTTAGTTTTTTGTACATTTCCTGAAAAATGTATCAATGTTCTCTGATCTTTTTTTTCCTACATTCAACTGAAAAATAGTTTTTAGAACCACCTTGTGCCGCAATTGCAATTGGAAGTCTTCTGCGGTATGTGACTGTCGGCTTTGCAAGCCTGCAGCCTGGGATTTTTGCCCATTTGTGTTTACAAAACAGCTCAACCTAAGTCAGATAGCATCTGAGACAGCTACTCCAGTTTCAAGTCCTTTAAAGCCTTTTAACTTCCACGCCTACCCTGTATTTAACTCCATCCATCTTTTCCATATCACCACAGCGGATGTTGCCTCTACCGTGCTTCACTTGGCGATGGTGTGTTCAAGGGAGCTGTCGAGTTAGTTTTCCACAGTGCACATCAGTTTGCTTGTAGGCCAACGACTTTAAATTTGGTCTCATCTGACCAGGACTCCTGTTTCCACATGTTTGTTGTGTCCCTTACACATCGCTGGTGGTGAAGTTTAAACAACTCTACTAATGGTTTTTCTCTGTGCAAATGCAGACTTGCTGTTCTTCTTTTTTTTTTTTAAATAAAAGTCAGATTTGTGGTGTGCTGCCACACTCTTTCCATTCTCACATGATGGTCTATAATAAAACCAATTTCTGTGGTTATAACGTAACAAAATGTTCAAGCGGTGCAATGCAATATGGTATACATTTACAAGACTGTAGCAGCACTATGTTTGACATGTCAAAGCAGGAACAAGAAAATATGTCCTAATAACTGGCATTCCTGTACAGGGAGGTTCTTATTTGTTGTGCATTCAGGCTTAGTTTATGCAAGTGAATCAGCCTTAATACTACTAACGCTAATCTTGGGCTTCATAGCCATTGTACACCCTAAAAATCATCTGTTGCTCACGTATCGTTTTAAAACGCAGACGGTTTTCATTGCTGTCTATTTTTCCAGTCAGATGAAGACTTCCAAGAGAGAAGACGTGAAGTGGAGAGTCTGATGAAGAAAAATGCCGACTGGATATGGGACTGGTCAAGTCGGCCCGAGAACAGTCCGCCAAAGTAAAGAGCTCATTTTATTTATTTATTTATTTTTTTTAAACACAAATGTTTGAACATTTAGGGCAGTGTTTCCCAACCCTTGCCCTCAGGGCACACTGCTCCGCATGTTTCCCTGCTTTAACATGCCTCATTCAACAAAAGCCTGGCAATCGACCGTCAATTAAAATCAGGTGTGTTGAAGCAGGTAAACATCTAAACATAGGGGCAGTGTGCCTTGAGGAGCAGGGCTGGAAAACACTGACTTGGGGAACTGCTGTTCACTGAGGTGTGTAGACTGGCTGCTGTTATCAAGATATACAGAGGTTTTAAAAGTTTCAAAAACATTCGAAACCCTTTGAGATTCCAAGAGAAGATGCCATGAAAAGCATTGCCATAGGTGTAATAAACACGATATTAGGAGCTAGAGTAATCATTACTTTTCAGTTTTAAATGAAGTCACTGTAGTCAAGGCTGTCATAGCTCTAGTGTAGTTTTAATTGCAAACACTCGGGGCTCTAACCCGAATTAGATTGCTTATATTTTCCCCATACTGTCATATTTGTGATTTGCTGACTTCACGGCGGTATCTGTGTGAGCACGGGCGTTCGCATGACATTAAACCAGAAATAGCTGATCTTTAATCTATGCAAAAAGACTGAAATATTAATGTGCTGCTCCGCAGGGAGTTCCTGCTGAAGAACCCCAAGCGCTCGACCTCGCTCAGCATACGGAACACCAGTGTCATGAAGAAGGGCGGCATCCTCTCCGCCGACTTTCTGAAGATATTCCTTCCCTCGTTAATCATCTCTCACATTCTCGCTGTTGGCTTGGGGTAAGCGGTAGGATTTATATTCCGACTCTGGGAATGTCATGGAGCCTCATTAATTTTTACGCAGCACACAGGTGCATCTCAATAAATTTGAGTATTGCTGATAGGTTAATGAATTTCACAAATGGAATGCAAAAAGCTCCGCTCATATATCCTATACAGTGTATTCCAAATATTATTTCTGTTAAATTCGATGGAAAGAAAATGATTTTCCTTAGGAAAACGTTGTGGTATGGCCTACACAATCATGAAAAGACTTCTGTCTTGATAGTTGTCCAGCAGTTACTTACACACCCAACAAGAAGAGTAAGCCATGAAAGGTAAGTTTTAAAAGTGCTACATCCAAACATTTTATTAGGAAGTTGAGTGGAAGGAAAATGTCTAGTAGGAATTGATGCAAAAGCCAATGGCTCCTTTCAGAAAGTTGTGAAATCTCCCTGGTTCAAGTGCTGAGCGCATGCACTGTAGTGTGCAGTTTATGGCCATATGCATCAGTAGGGTTAACATTTCTGTTTTGGAAAATTTTATTTTTGTCTCTTCACTGAATTTTTTTTTTTTTTTTAATTCCATTTTGGTTTTTCATTAACTGTAAGCCGTAATCATCAAAATGAACAGAAATAACTAACTAAATTAACATTACGTTGAAACTATATCAGTTTCATTTTTTTGACACATTGAAATAAATAAACTTTTTGAATATATTCTATTTTTTTTTTTTTTTTTTTTTTTTAGGAATCCCCTCTTTATTTTTAATTTGACGATTTTAATAGCTATAG